GACGGGTTTCCCTCCCTTTTCCCTCCGCAGGTCACGCAGATCCTCGGGGACTCCTCTCCCTACACGCTGGTGGCGAAGAAAATTGACCGTAAGTTGGCGGCGGGGCCCGGGGGGACGCGGCGGGGCGGGCCGGCGCCGCCCCGCCCCCCTCTCTCCGCCCGCCCTCTGCCTGTGTCCCCAGTGCCGGAGTACCAGGGGGAGCCGGACGAGATCTCCGTGCAGAAGTGCCGCGAAGCCGCCCGGCAGGTCGCTCCTTTTCTCCTTCCCCTTTCCCGCCGGTCGGAGCGGTGGTGTAGGTGGGGGAGCTACGGGGGAGCCTAGCCCCGGCGGGGCGGGAGGCAGCTGGGTGCGTCGGGGCTTCTGACCCGGCCCTGAGGAAAGCCAGGGACGCATCCGGGCCTGGCCTGGCCTCACTGCGCTCCCATCACCCAGCCGTTTCTGGCCTACACTGGGTGATGGTGAATTCCCACTGGTGACACAGTGTTTAGGCAGTCCCGCTGCTGCTCCTCTGGCCCCTTGTGTCCCTCAAGCAGCAGGAGGACATGACAGCTCCTTCAGTCCAGCCCCAGCAGTTGTGGGATGCCGAGTTTTCTGTCAGCTGAAGCTTCTGATGGATCACCTTCCAGAGCTGTCTCTGGGATGGGTGTCTTAAAAGAACCAAGTGAGGACTGAGACTTGAGGAGAATGCAGGTGTGCCCCCAGGACACAGGCTTTCCCCCTGCTTGTCCCACCACTCTTGCCCCCCAAGAGGGCAGGGGGTGTTCAGCTCTGCTCATTTTTCTCCATGTGAGATCTCCCCTACCACACTTCAGCCACTCTGGCCTGCCTGGGGAGAGCATGGGTTTAGTTGTTTCTGTCTGGTATGGATTGCCTCCGAGGTGAAGAACTTTAGTGGCTGGTGGATTTTTGTGATGTTCCTGTTATCGTGGAAACATGAGAATAGGATAGAGCAAGAAAATGGGGTTGGAGGCAGTGCCTTCCTCTAGGTCTAATGTTTCCATCTCTTGGGCTTTTGCTGTAGGTTCAGGGACCTGTGATAGTAGAGGATACCTGCCTGTGCTTCAATGCCCTGGGGGGGCTTCCAGGACCGTACATGTAAGTAGAAGGGCATTTGCTTCACCTTTCGTGTCATAGAGTTAGGAGTGCAGGCTGGCAGGGTGTGCTTCATGGGGGATTCTCCACATGCCAGGAACAATAGGGTCAGGGAGGTGATTACTGATCTGTATCCTCAGCTTCATCCTGCACCCCAGGGGCTGGATTTGAACTCCTTGAGCCCTGCTGTAAGTCACGGGGCAGGACAAGAGAGACAGACCCAAATTGTTGTCTCTGGCTCCCGATCTACGGTGCCTGCTCTTGCAGCCAGCTTGGGAACCTGGCCCCACAGTGGGCTCTGTGTAGTTAAGGCACCATGCATTTCAGCAGGACTCTGGGATGAGGGTCCTGTAGGTGCTCATAGGGAGTGCTTTAATCCAGCAGATAACAAGGTTATCATATTACAGTGTAACTCCTGTAATAAAATACTGCCTTAGCTCCTGGAATTAATTTTTAGTGTGATTAATTCTTCCAGACTGTCTCTGCTGAGCTAAACAGAGACATAAAAGCTTTATATGATGAAGTTGGCACTAGAACAAGGTGTGAGATGTGAACAAGTTGAGTTGAGAAATGTATTTCGGCATGTCAGTGCTCACGAGTGAGAACTGGATTATTTACATAGACCCCAGTACTGCAGTAGATTAAATACCCTGCTGCTTAAATACACCCTTCACTGTGTCCCATTCAGTTTAAGACCCAGTTTTCACTGTGTCCCATTCAGTTTAAGACCCAACTCTGTCATTATTGGTAAATAGTCCAGAATGAGGTGATTTGACAGCACATTTAAGAGGGATTCAAAGGGCTATGAAAATGTAGGCAACAACGTCTCAAGGATGCCTGTATTTCTGAGAAAAAATAGCAAAAATTAATCTTTCCTCTCTTCTTCCTCTTCAGAAAATGGTTCTTGGAAAAACTCAAACCAGAAGGTACTGCCTCCCGTGTTACTGCTCTGCATGTAACTCGGTCCTTTCCAAATGAAATGGATCCCTGCCCGTGCTGGGTTCTGCTGACCGTGCTTGCCCACCGTGCTGCCCGTTTCATAGCTGGTTCCTTTCCTGTCTGTCCAGCTCTGTCCCTTCGCATTCTCTCCTTGAGCCTGTTCTGTGCCCTTCTTCACGGGATGTTGTTTCCCCCAGTAGCTTCAGCATCATCCCTGGATTCCCAGACTCCTGCCTCTGCAGGCTGGTGGCAGGGTTTGTGGGAACTTCTTGTTTGTCATCAGTGTGACCTGGAAGACCTGCTGCTCCCTTTGGCTTCTGTGCAAGCCCCTCTCCACTAATGCTCACTTCCCCTGGCATGCAGTGACTTGCCTTTGATCCCGCGGTTAGGAGTGTGACTGCAAATCCCGCACTGGCATCACAAGCATGAGTGTTAATCACGCTAATTCAGAGTGGGCTTTAGTCCTCTCTGGCACTGCGCACTGGTTTGCTTCCACTCCCAAATTAATAGCGGGGCCCTGCAGCTCACGCTGTGTTAGATCTGAGGCCCTGGCTTCAGTCATACAAGGGACTGGCCCAAGAGCATCCTTGTGGCTGAGCTTTGTCACCCCCTGTAGTTCTTCCTCTCCCTTGTGGATGTGAATGCAGAACGCTCCCTCGATCCGTCTCTAGGTGGGTGTGTTGCGCTCCGAGGGAAAGGCAGTAACGCCGGGATCCTTTCTGTGTCGCTCAGGCCTGTACAAGCTCCTGGCTGGGTTTGAAGACAAATCTGCCTACGCTCTCTGTACCTTTGCATTCAGTACTGGAAACCCAGAGGAGCCAGTGAAGCTCTTCAAAGGCCAGACTCATGTAGGTGGTGTGCCTGGGAAGGGAAGATGCTGAGGGGGAGGGCTGTAATGTGAATTTCGTAACGGCATTGGCTCTGTTGAGGACAACTTTAGTGGCCCCCGGGTCAATGAACGCCCCTGGGTCTTCTCCATGTTGGGAACAGGCTGAGGGAGAGCGCAGCTGGTGGGTGGTGGGTGCTGAATGCTGCAGCCCTTCTGCCCAGCTGTACGTACCAAACGCTTTGCACGTTACCTCAGGCTCTTCAGCCCCCTCATCTCCCTCTGGCAGGGTTGTATTTGAGTGCAGTTGTTAGCTCTGTTAATTGGGGGGGTAAAGGGGCTGTCAACATAGGGCAGCGTGATGGAGCACTGAGTTTGGGACTGCTAATTTTGTTTACGTCCTGGGAATGGGGACAGTACCCCATACCGAGCCTTTGGTGACCACTGTGTGAGCTATGGCTGCGTGTAGCTCTTCAGTCTGTGTCTGAAATGCGACTGTGAGGGAAGTGCTGCAGAACCACAGCCTGCGGGGCTTTTTTGCTTTCTCGTGGCAGGGGCTGATAGTGGAGCCCAGAGGCCCTCGAGATTTTGGCTGGGATCCCTGCTTTCAGCCAGACGGCTACAATCAGACGTAAGTGGTGTTTTACCTACAGCTCTTTACGTAAGGAAAGCCAGGGTTGAGGTTGCGTGTGGAGAGGAACCTGCTTACGAGGAAGGGTGGCAGGGAGAAAACACCCTCCTGGATCTGAATGTGGTGGGTTATGGGGAACCCCCGGATCAGGATGAGGGTTGTTGGCTTTGCCAGCGTGCCACTACAGACGCTATAGTTGAGCAGGGAGACGGCGAGCAGAGGGGAAACTCTCGGTGACTGGGGGGACGCGTGCTGTAGCGTCTCTGCTGCTGAGACTTGTGCTTTCTCTCCCCTCCAGTTACGCTGAACTGCCCAAGGCAGTGAAGAACTTGATCTCGCACCGTTACAGAGCACTGAGCGAGCTCTCTGCTTTCTTTCTTCAAAGCAGCTCGACACAGCCCTGCTCTGGTCCCAGCTAGCCGCCCTGGGCTGCGGGCACCCGGTGTTGTCCGTGTCGCGTACCGCCCTGGGAGAGCTCTGCTCCGCTGCGGGCTGACATTAAAGCTGCTCTTTCTGAAGCCGCCAGTAC